ATATAAAATATTGAGAAATTATATTTGATTCACTTGGACCATATTCACTCATAATCAAGTGAAAAAAAAACTTTCAACCCACGTTACAATATATTTAGACATCTATTTTGACTTGCTCTAAAAATAATGTCAAAACTTTTTCCTTTACAGATTAGTTGTAATGTATTTACAGATTTGCAATGACACCATTTTATACAGTTTTGTTTACCTTCTGATTCAACAGCTTGTCGTTTGAACTGTGTTTGGTGAATGTAAAAATAGTTTCCATGAGCTTTTAGCCAATATTCTTAGGTTTCTTGTGATACTAAACATGTCCAGGTTCAACTGACAGATCTGAAGTTAAGAGAAATAGAAAATAGAAAAAACTGTGTTGCCCCTGGTACCGGGGCTTAAATGTTTTTCCACTTGTGAATAATTGACTTCAAAATGTTTGGAAATGACCTTTAATTCTTCTCATATTGATAAGCAGTTATAGTTGCTCCTTCAAGGTCATTGCTGATGTCTTCCAGTCCAGGTGTTTGTGGTTGCTGTGAAATAGTTTTGACCATTTCACCTGATTGTCTGCCATCAAAGTGTCTTCTTAAACCATGCRTCCTTTAAGCCCTGCTGGGTCAACACAGAATGATCGATGTTCACTAAAAGTATGAACAGGTCCGACGCCCAAGATCCTTATTCTGAAAGCAGCAAGAGAAACAGTAGTGTTTGGTTTTGTTGGCTGTCTTCACACAAAGTTCCTAGCATGGACTGAGGGGCTGCTGTTAGTTTGTCCTCGTCTGACCTGCAGCTGCTGAACCAGGCAGGTCAGTCAATTCAGAGACAGATGATGTGATGAACAGAGTTCCTCCTGCAATATCAAATACTTCAGGTATCGTGTTTCGGGAGCCACAGTCTTGGATGTGAAACAATATTGTCCCTGTTCTTTAGTTTAAACTTGAATGATCTTTCTTTGTAGAGCAGGAAACTGAGAGAGACTTTGAAGTTGGGTTTATGATACTGTTGGTATCCATGAAGCAGAAGCTCTGGTTTGTTGAATCGTTGTTATTCCCAAGAGCGTTTTGATGGAATGATGCCCAAAGACTTAAAGTTCAAGAAATACAACATCACCAGACTTGCACTATATTTACGTTTTATGCTATTTTATACTAACAATTGTTGGGTTGTATATATCTGCACAACATACTGTACACATGTTGTTTTAATGGTAATAAATGGATGGCCTAAGTGACATGCATCCACTCAATTTATTCCCGTAAAAGATTGTTGGAGAAGATTGTGTCTTTGGAAGCTTTGACAGTTAAAATAAATGTTTATCACTTGTTGCCWTTCAGTGGCAGGCAATAATGCTTTTGCTCAGATTTGTTTCAAGTCCTTTTGAGGAACAAAACAGATAAGCATTATTGTATTTAATGGTGGGGCAAACACTGTCATGTATTAGTAATGATTAGGTTTAGGCTACAGAAATGACTGGAAATGAATGGATGTCAGTACACAACCCTAATTAGGATAAAAACAAACGTGTTTGTGTCCGTGTGCACTCGTTTGTTCATCTCATCATTAGCAAAGTGTCTCATGAACAACTAGACAAATTTTATGGAAACTTGCAGCAATTAATCGTCAGCTAAACATCTGCAACCTGTWAATCTTTAGACAACTCGATTCWAGATGTCTGCCACAACCAGCAAACAAAAAACACAGAAGTGGCTAGGATTTATACTTAAAATGTCTTAAAAGGCATTGAATTCATCTATCCAAAAATAAGGCCTCAGTTAGCCTTAAAAAATTTGACTGTAAATCAATCTTCTAAGTGTCTTAAAAATATTAGCATGTTTTATGTAGGATGATTAAAGTTCATCTGAAATATCAAAATAATTGATAAGATTTATTACCTTTTTTTAAATGAGTTACAGAATGCTGCTCACAGCTAGTTTTGTGTTAAACATTTAGGTAAAACTGTGGCAAGTAAAGCCAGGTGAGCTACCATACCTATAAAACACTGGTGRAAACCCTGCTACTCTGAGCGCAACTGATCGCACAAAACCCTGTTTTGCCTATTAAGAGTCAACTCTGTTAGCAAAAGATCTTATGAACAGCTGGATGGTGGCCACTATAACCAACTGACCTTAGAAATCTGAAAAATGTCTATATCAGTCAATTTTACTGATAACATTTGGTCTGTTGTAGCTTAGAGTCAATTACTGCGCACAGTTCAAGTGCTACTTACTATACAAGAACTGCTGGAGTCATCGAATAGTAAAATGAGGTCAAAGATGAACTCGTTGCTGGTTTAAGCTTCACATGTGTGCATCTGAACTGTGCCGTAGTGCACATCAGCTGTGCATTAGCCTTCGTACAGCATGCCTGCATGTTCTGAAGGAGCTCTGGTGAAGGGTGGGGTCAGGGAGGAGCGCTTTCCAGTTTCACAGACGCAGGGCTTTGGACAGCTCCAAGTGCTCCACAGAGGAATTTGTTTACTTGTGGCGGAGCTGCAAATAACTGCAGGGTTTATATAGGGGAGGAAAAAAAAGAGCTGCGAGGGGAAATACTGGCCTGTCCTATTAGAGGACAACCACTACACATGTTCCACACAGCCACATGGCTCCCATTACTCATTGAAGAGCTGATTCTTTTTTTTTCTTCCAGAATCCTGTTGGCTCTTGTCCCTTTATTTTTACTTTGGCAATTTGTCTGACTTTAATGGATCTGAAACATATTATTAATCTGCACCACATTGGTGTTTCTGTGGAACAATGTAGGAGGAGGGAGGAGCCAGCCATGTCTGATACGAGGCCTAACCGTCAGTATGCTTGATCCACAAAAGGAATTATGCTTATATATATA